TCTGTCACACCCTGTATCCAAATTTAACCCCAGAACTAATGCATACTTAACAATTTTTTTCCAGCTTTGTATCCTTTTTCCTAATACGATTGTTATACTCTATAATTCTATAAAGGTTGTCCTAGACAACAAAAATGAATCCAGTGCGCTTTCTTGGTTTATTTCTGTGTAAACTGATTCAGTGAAGCAAATCGAGCAACCTCGTTAATTTGCATTTACTGTTAATTGCACCGATAACAAATGAGACTTGCAACTTTTTGTTTTACTCATTTTATAGGAAATTATAGGAAATGAAAATCAGCCACTATGGCAGATGTAGTAAGGAAACAGTTATTACATTTTTATAAGGTGCCAAACTCCACATAATTCAGAATGTCTAAAATTTGTAAGGCAAAAATTCGCAGGGAGACAATTATGAATTTGTATGGAATATGTAAAAAATAAGAAAAAACCGCCAATCTTCACTCTGACATTAGAGAATTGCATTCATTTGAGGAATTAATAATTTTTGCTACCTATTTTACCCCGTAGTTAGACCAGCAATCACAAGCGCTAAAAAAATGAGCGACATTCACTACTCTTTTCTCTACTGAAAATTTAATAAAGCTATCGAGCGATGTTGAATAAATAAAAAGATAAAACTTCTCCAGCTTTATTCGCCTCTCATCCTTTTGTAACTCGAATTGATTTAGTTATTGTGCCATCTATTTCAAATTTTTCTCTTTTCAATTTTATCATTTTAACTCAATTACCTTAATTTTGCTCAAAAAATTTACTTCATTATATTATTTATTTCAATATAATTGTGACAAAGAACTTGTGTCATGTCATTTCCAATTCAAATTGATATAAATAATTTGACAACATTGGAAAATTAACTGAACAAAGTGACCAGTAACTGAAATGAAGTTGGCAAAATTGAATAAAATGTTACCAATCTAATATCAAAATCACAAGCCACGTTGATCAGAAATTTTATTAAACCACAATTTATTGAACTCATGGTATCTAGTTAACAATTTTCTCTTAAAAACATCAAAAACTGGCTTCATGGGTTTTTACTTAAATAATAATTATTTATTTATTTTACTATTATTTAAATAGTTTCACTTTTTATCATGTAATATTGCTTTTTTTAATTATTTATTTATTACAAAACAAGAAACAGAATTTCATTTTTCAAGTGATATTTTCCAATCTTGAACTTGACAAAATGAGGCCAAACTTGAAAATCTTATCATCCAAGGATACGTAAATTAAACATAAGTAGAGCAACCATTTTTTCTATCAATAAGGAGTTTGATTTATTGATTGTAATAATATAATTGTAAACTAAACGTGGTGTGGGGGTCATTCCAAGCTTAATGGTTATTTAAATTGCCACTTAAGTCAAGATAGTGAAATTTAATTAAGTAATAATAATTAAAGCGTGTTTAATTTACCCAACGATTAGGTAAAAACCATTGGGTTATGAAAAATGGTAAAAATTAAACGAATTTTCTCTCATGTTGTATTTACGAGTATTGTTTGCTCTTGTGATCATGTCGTTCTCATATTTCACCACAAGCGACGTCATAGCTGTGTTTCACTATTTTTAAACCTTGTATTATAATATTATAATTAATAATTTATGATACACAATTTTGCTTTTTTGGAGTGAAACTTGAAATTAATAGTAAAAATGCGAGATATAATTAATTTAAGCCTCTCAAGGGGGTTTTCTTCCCTTAATAGACCAGTTTTGGCGTTAGAAATGTCATCATGACGTTACTAAAACCACGTGGGGTCTGTGAGGAAAAGGACCACCCCGTACAATCCCATATGTGCAAGAAAGACAGAATCAGATCAATAACACGGACATCGAAACAACTAGGAGCGACCAGCCCAAATCCATTGCATTCCAATAAGAAATTTTCGAAAAAAAAATCACTCTTTGATACAATCAAAGTAGCAGGGGTCAACAAATGCCCAACGTTTTAATGGAGGCAAATTGCCTGTTTCAATTGTTGACTTGATTATTTTGTTCCACAACAAGCTAATGAAACCACTTTAGACATCATTAAATGTCACCGAGATGATTACGCGCAAGGTAACAGTCGGGATTCAAAAATCTGGTTCGGTTTCAGACGGCCTTGCTCTGATAACAATTGCAAGTCGGCGCCTGCTATGATTTACCCAAAATTAGGGGTAAATTGACCACGTGTGGGTAATGCAAATCAAAGCCGACTAGATTAACACCTGAGACTTACCTGTATTTCGCAATTTATGTCATGATGGCAGGAATTGGCGAAATTTGAGTAAAAAAACACTCGCCACTTGAACCGGATGACACGGGAGCACCCGGAGTTTTGATTATCATTTATCGGACGTTAATTTTACCTGTTTTATCTCTATTCCGCGACTCAGTCAACTAAATACACTTGCAATTCTGTCTGAACTAGATACACAAGATAAATTCTGGGAGATTTTCCGATAAATTATATTCACAAATTTAGCGAGTGAGACGAAATATTTGATGGATTTATGGTTGTGATAAGGCGAAAATGGTACGACGTGTGATAAAATAAAGCCTGACTATTGGTTACAATGACCGCACGTAGATTTGAAAATATTGCTCTCTCTGTCTGACAGGTTTGTAACAAGGAGGAAAAATAAGAGATGTGGAATATTGACGTGAAGGGGAATCAAGATTTAAATGTCAGTGAGCGTGTTCGCGGGAAAACCGTCGCGAGCGCCATCTAACGGAAATGTGGGTAAAAAGTAAAGTTTTCTAAGTAAAAAGCTTAAGATTTTGATTATTATTGATAAAAATTTTGATAAAAATTGTTCACATTTAATTTATTTAATAAATTTTTAAAATATTACTACAAACATAACACTCCGTAATTATCGTAAAATATGTACGATTTAAATTAGGAGAATTATAAAGTGTTAATTAAGGCTTTCCTGCTTTTACTTTCACCGGAAATGCTTCATCAGCACATACATACTTTGTATAATGCTTATATTTTTCAGAAAATAGTTTTTAAAGAAAACAGTTTTTGGGCTRTTTCACATTAACATAGGTATGGAATTTTACAGGTTATAAGTTATACAGGGCGATTCAGATAAGATAATGAGCCTTACGATCTGGCGATGCAACCCAAAAAACAAATTTCATATACGCCTTCGATCCAATTAAATTAGAATTTGCAAATTTAATCCAAATTATCATCTTATGACTTATGTCACTCTGAGATTAGTGCAGAGAACGATCATTAGTGTCATCCAGTTCTCGCGGAATGATAGAGAAACTAGAGAAGTCTTTTCGGTGTAAACCCAATACAAAATGTATGAAAGAATGAAACATTAAAAATAGGCAAACAGTTTTTTTATAAATCATAAATTGCTTGTCAAGGCACTGTCAGAGCAACATAAGATAACTTGGATTGCAAATGCAAATAGTAATTAAAATTAGATCAAGACATAAATGAAATTTGTTTTTTGGTTTGCATCGTCAGAACGTCGGGCTCATTATCTTATCTGAATCACCCTGTATAAGTTAGTTTAAATATAGTTATACAAGTTTTAATTACTTAATAATAAAGTAATAATAATTACGTAAGCGGTATACTCTCATGAATACATACAAATTTTATATTATCGAGTATTTAAGTTCAATCAAGTAATTGATGGTCAATTAAAATTTACTATATTTTTAGACACTGCCAAAATAGAATTTATCGATCTTTTTGTAGAAATGTAGAATTGAAAAATGCAGATTTTACACATGGGTGAAATTTGCATATTTTTCCATACGAATTTTAGACACTAATGGAGAGTCTTAATAGTATATTATTCAACGAGCATATAATGATGGCCATTATTCACGATGGTGAAGTTTAAAAAACGAGTCGTAAACCAGTTTTTTAATCCCTTGGGTCTTGAGTGATAATAGCCATGATAATGCGAGTAGAATACTATATAGTTATTCATGAGATAGGTATTTATGATTTTTTCGCCACAACCCATTATGCATGTTGCAGCAATTTCTTATTGATTTCAGATTTTGAAAGTAATTATAGCTGAATCCACGATGGCTATTTTTAATCTTGTCTCTTTGACATTAAGGCAACAAAATCATCTCTCAAACGATACAACATATTTTCTTATCGTTTACCAATGACTGGGCGCATGTTTAGAAGCCGATGGTAGACACTTCGAACACCTTTTACATTAATTTAACTTGTTAATTTATTTGTTGAATTTTGATTAAATAGAGGTTATCTGTCAATCTGACGTTTCTGACACATCTGTTCAACTTATTTTGATTTCGAATTTAAAATAAATAACATATTTAATATAGTAGTTACTGGTATTGGTACTGTTGGTTGCGACACAAAGTAATTCAAAAGTATCTATCTTCTCATGAATAGTATTGTATGTGCTTTATCTACGACTATGAAAAATTTTCGATTATTGGTTTTGAAAAAATTGACGTTTTAATTTAATTAATAAAAATGTCAAATTGCGTTCAAACAGTAGGCCATACAGGAAAGAGTCGTGGAGTATAAATAAATGTGGAATATGAACTAAATTATGTGTCTGGATACGCATACAGTATAGTATATTATTCAAGGAGTGAGAAAGTTCGCCATTTCCATGAAGATGAAATCTACGATATGAGCCGAAGGCAAGTGACTTAATTCATCTGAGTGGAAATAGCCATTTCTCACGAATTTAATGCAATACTTTTTCTAATCTTAAATAATGGCTGCAATACCTATTTCATTTTATATTTTCTTTTGTTTGTCAACATACACATTAACCAATTTTTTTCCATTTTCTCCACAACTGTGGAGATGAAGATTAAACAACTTTCTCAATTAAAAAAAGTATGAGAAAAGTATGTACAAATTCTTTAAAATATGATTAGAAAAACATTATTTAACAATCATAGATAAAAAAAAATTGAGAGTATCCTGTCATATTTGACATTTCGAATTTTTGTCCAAAACTAGAAGGAAGTTTAAAAAAATGTGTGAAAACTACAACAAACCCCAAATCGACTACAAGAAAGAAAAAGACGACCTTTCCGAATTATACAAAAACCGGATCATTTACTCCCTCCCAGTCCGCGCCGGCTATTGGTCAAATGAACTCGCAATACGCGAACAACTGGAATTTTCATACAACTACAAAAGGGAGCATTGCCAACTCCTTATTCAGAAAACACGGAAAATGTTCCGTAATCTCCTCCGGCCTACTGTCCTATCCTCCGACACGCCATACATCGCATACAATGTGAACTACCAAATCAAGTCGTACGGAATCAAAGAAACCAACCCTTGCGGTAAAGAAAGTCTTCAACCTTTGTATTTATCAGGGGTTATTACCGAACGAGAAATCGAAAGCACCCAACATTTCACCCACGGATGTGTCCTCACAGCCTCCTCAGACCGGACTCCCTGCATTCGTAACACATTTGTTTTCGTGGGGTGTGATTCGGAAAAGTCCGGGAATGTGAATTACGGTGAAGATGTTTACATTGAAATTAGCGAGAGTGAAGGGCCTCCTTTGTACGTTCAGTGTGAAAACTCAACGATGGACACTTTCGGGAAACATCTAAGTTTGAGACTGAGCCGCGTACCGGATATTTATTGCCGGTTCAAGATTTTGCACTGGAAGCCCCAGCTCCGGGACGAGACTTGTGGCACTTTTGTCGTCTACAACTCCTACGTTATAATCCAACACACGGCTTCTGGACACAACTTAGCAGCAGAGTTTCACAACTGGATGCCCACTTTTTTCGGCAGCGAATGCACGACTTCCTGTCACACTTTCCGCGACACTCATSGGATGGAAACTAGCGAAAATTTGTGGAAAATCGTGGGACACGAGAAAACGGATTTAGACCACGTGCAAATGGCCCATGCCGCACCAAATTTGTGCGACAAAAAGAAGTAAACTGTTTTAAAAAATTTATTTAGTCTTTTAATCAAAAACAACAACAAAATCCCGGCATACGTAGCATACACACTTTACAAGCTTAATAAATAAAACATTTTTTAGAATATTTATTACCTCATCCAAATATCATCCATGGCTTTATCTGACAAATACTTATCTGGCAAAACTTTTAAAGTCTTCATTGTATCTATGTAAAAAAATATTTCGGTTGTGACTAAGCCGTGCTGGGGGCCGCCGTTGTTTTGGATGTTCATCTTTAGGAGCTGCTCTCGGAGGCGCGATTTGAAGTTTTTGTGGATTATTTCGTAAATGTCGGTGATCTGGAATAAATAATAACAACATGACAAACATTTTGACAACTTTTTTACATTTTATAAAACAAATCACGTCTTTCACCACGTAGTTTTCATGTTAAAAAAAAATAAGTACCGTGCGATCAAAATAAATAAATAAATAAATAAATTACAGTAGGCGGTGATTAAAGTCCTTCAGATGACAATCCTGACTTTTGACATCAAATGTCAGTGGAAACTTTGACAAGTGTGCGTTTTATCCATTTAGAGTGAAATAATGTTTACTTTAGAGCAGAAAATTGTTATTGTTGCAAGTTATTACAAAAATGTTGTACAAGGCGAAAACGGTGAATGGTCATTTTCACTTTGTGTGGGAAATTTTCAGCAAAAGTTGATGCCAACTGTAGAAGATAAATCGTTGCCTACTCTAATTATTTTTTTTTGATCACACGGTACTTTTGAAAATTATATTTTTCCACTACTAATGAATAGAAAAAAACATCACTTACTCATCATTTATACAAGTTTGTCCAAAAAATACAATCTTGGATAAATTTGTTTGAACTGTAATATGTTCTCAATTAATGTTGGTGGAAGCGAGATATTTTTGTTTTACTTTCTTATTCAGTTACCCACCTGCTCCTCTGGCAAGACTGGACTAACCGCTTCGTGCAACTTCGTAAGATGCCTTGAAACATTTCTGAAAGCTTTTGACGGAACAGGCGGCTTGGCATCCCATTCATTCAACTGATCCCCCAACAGACTATTCATAATCGATAAAACTTTGGTTTCGAGCTGTTGAATATGATGTCCAATATCCCTCTCCACCGCATCAAATSCGCCCAAAGGGTCACTCGTCAATGCATTAAAATGCGCCCGAATGTGCGGAATCAGCCATAAAACCATCTGCAATGACCTCGACGTCAACGCTAAATTCGTCGTCGTTATCGTCTTCAGCCCTGCTGTCTTCAACGCACCTGCACCCAGTACCAATTGACAACTCCGCGAATTGAACGTTCGTAATAACTCAGTCAGATTTCGCCCGATTATGGGGGCTAGCAATTGCAAATTATACGCACAAACACAATATTCACAAACTAGTTGTATGAGGATTAAGACCGTCCCCACTGTTGTATAATCCTGCGAGCCGATTTTCAAAGCCGGTGCAGGTTTCTGTAATTTCTTTTCGTTGTTTTCCCCAGTCGGCGAACTCGGCAACGACTTGATCACATTCCCTAAAGCTAACTTGTCGACTAGCATTTGTATTTCTTGAGGCACTTCAGCGACTTTCCACCGTTCCGCGTCTAGAAGCATCGTGAGTTTGTTTTTGCGTTGGCTGTGGAATTTATGAACGTAATTTCCTGCTTGGATCTTGAATGCCGCCCTCAAAGCGGCACTTTGCCGCCCACACACTTTCTCACAAAGTTCAGTGAAGTTATCGACAATTGTCGATAATTCAGTGACCTGAATTGRCGTTATGGTTTGCTTATCGGATTGAGTGCTGACTAATGAAGCTAATCGTTCATGGCAATAATCACAGATTGAAATTAATAAGTCTTTTAGTTTGATTTCGACGCGGTTGTGGTCTTCGAGACTTAGGAAACTTTCAGAGTCGCGGAGAGAGGGCGCTGATTTCAGACCGGCGCTCGTGTCTGCTGTTTCTTTGATCACGTTATGAACAGATTTCACCCTCTGGACGAGCTTGCCTAAAAAAAAATCATAACTTGTATACAATAATAATAATTTTTATACCCACCAAGAGCTCCACTTGCAAGCGTCAGCACCCTCAACCAATGAGCCGCGTCCATGCTGGGGGCCACCTCCCCCGACCCCGTCATCTCCATATCATCCTCAACATCCGCCAACTCTTCAATTAACAACTGTTTGAGTAAAGTCTGCGCAGCGGTGACAGCCTCCTGTTTATACGTCTCCAAAAATTGTAAATTGTTTTGTCTCAACAACCCCGCAACCAAACTAACCAACCTCTCCTGCTCCAAAACCCCACCTTCTGCTTCCAAAGGCCGATGTAAATCAGCGGCGGCGTACCGCTCAAACTCAGTGCTCAACATTTTATCAATCAATTTCGACATTTCTTTAAGTTGCGACGGTAAGTGTCTCAAACTTGTGACCCCTGCCAGTTCCTTTGACAACACTTCTTGGGTGCTASAGATGAGTTCGAGGGCTGCGACGTAATCTGAAGAACTGAGGAGGAGTTGGAGGGTGGGTTGGGTTTGCAAGACAGTCGCCATTAGTTTGAGTTTGTCCACAAGTTTGACGTGGTTGGACTTGGCTCTGGCGAGCCCCACCAGTTTGAGGGAGTCTTTGGCGAGCGTTTTATCGACTTTTTGTACTTTAGAACGCAATGTTTTGACCTCGGTGTGGGCAACACCCATCTGTTCCATAATCGTGTCGTGGGAGGTCATAGCGTGGAAAAAAGCGCCGGATTTCTGCGACACCTGCTTGGCGATTTGCACCTCAACGATGTCCAAGTAATGACTCAACTCCTCTTGCAAGACATGGTCTTGATTCCGGTCGTTTCCGCGGAAAACTTGCACAAACACTGAAGGGTCATTTAAAGGAAAATTCTGCCGCAGGAAAATCGCAGGGATTGATTCGATACTAACTTCGCCATTGATCAGATCCGTCTTCGTTCGAGTTTTCACATTATTCGTTTCTAGTTTGCTCTGAGAGAGCCGTATATGCCGCTTGTACCTTTTACCGATTTTCCGAATGTAGCCATCAAAGTGCGAGTAGGTTATTTCAGGAAGGAAGGGACTTTTCTCGATTTGACCCTTCTCAACAAATGTATCACCCCATGTTTTCACGAAAAAATTGGATTGCTTGCCACGATTTGGGTCGTTTAGAACGGCCGGGAGGTTTTGAGCAGCGGAATATAAGGACCACTGCTCAACAGCTGGCGTCATGTTACTCATATAAGACCCGGTGGACTACCTTGTTTTGTATTTTTTCATTTTTGAGAACCTAATCATCACATTTATTTGAAGCACATCTATATCAGGTGATAAAACCACTACTTTGACAACTCATGTCACGAAAAAATGAACTATCAGATTTAAACGTCAAAAACCAGTGTCGCCAATAAGCGAACTCGAAATGTCTCCAACATTACTTAAGGGACAGATACCGGGTGACTATTATTATTTATATGTTTGTGACAAAAAAATATATTGACAATACTGAATTATTAGTAATCCCAAGGTTTATAAAGTAAGAATCCTGGGCAGTTTTTTCTTGTCATTTCAAAACACGCCAATGTAAATGCACCTTTACCGTCATGATTGATATTTAAAAAAACTGTCAAATTAACTTTGACATACATCAATTTTTACACAATGCCAGCTGTACAAATTTTAATAAATCTCGAGCAATAGCTCTTATTCAAAGCGGGATGTCGCAGCGGCAAGGCTCGGTGATTTTGAGGATTCCAAAATCTTCGACTTTGTCAGTGTCAAAAAGACAAATATGCCAAACATTAAAAGCTTGATTATGAGCACCGAAGGTATAGTTTAGAAATTTTGACAACTGAATGACACATCTGCCCAGGTTTCTGTGTCCCCAACTGTACATAGATAAAAAAAATATAAATTTGTTTTGTTAAAACTTGCAATATTTTAATTTATAATTTTATTAATTTTTTCTTTGATTTGTTTATCAGAAATTTTTTCGATAACTATTTATCGCAGAACACTGATCTTTTTTGTATATGATAGAAAATTAAATTTTCTTTCCAACGGTACCAAACAAAAAGCGGTTATCATCAAGAAGTCCGGAGTTATTATAAATAGACCGCTCCAAAAATCGACCAAAAACTCGACAAAAATCAATTTTTTGAGGTTAAAAACGCTTGAAACATGTTTTTCTATTAGACGTAGAATTACCCGCTGAACACGATGCAACAGGTTAAAATACTCTACGATCATGGTGTAAGATATTTAGGTGATGCAGCGAGCGCATGCACTGCGTTGGCTGAAGTGTGGTCAAGTCAAACTGGTCACGTGATTTTTAGACAAGGAGGACATATGCGGGCCATTCGTTCCCGAAAGTCCGCCTAATAAAGTGCACCTGAGGTGGTTACTTCAGCAATTTTATATTGTTCTAATACATGTTTATACATTTTGAAATGGGAAAAAATTTTGTGTGCCCAAGTTTAAAAGTGGCTATGCTAAAAATAATGAAAAATTATCTTTATTTCCGATACCTACCACGGAAAATGTTGCCTAATCGTATAATTCCAAAAATTCTGTGTTTTCACTATAAAGTGAAAAACATGTGTGTAAAAAACATTTTAAAGCAAAACATACCAGGTGAATAAAAAGTATGGAACCAAGCATTTTTTTKGTAAACTAAGCACTTTACAAAAAAAATAATTAGTGTAGTGTAAAGTCCAATTAAAATGTGACCATTTATCAAGAATAACATTTTTCGAAATTTCTTTTAGTTTTCGAGGTCTGGAAAAAAAATTTGTTTTTAAATGGCAACCCACTATGGTAATTTTTTTAATTAAAGATTATGATCTAAAAATTACCTCTAATTAAACAGAATTGTTTTCTAGTCAGTACTTTTTTTTTAATAAATTGTTAAAGTTGCGTTCCGAGCCCATCACGAAGATTTTCCGAACTTGAACAAAGGAGTCGTTTCATTACTTTGGTCGTTGGAGAGTCCGGTTTTTGGTGCAGGTGCTTTGGGTGGTTCCGGATGGATCAAAAAATGTAAAAACAAATCATTTTCTTCTATTTTTAGTCCATTCGAAACCACCCCAAAGCACCTGCATAGAAATCAGCGCTCTCCCATGATGAAAAGTTTGAAACAACCACTTTGGTTAAGTTCGGAAAATCTTCGTGATGAGCTCGGAACGCAACTTTAACAATTAATTAAAAAAAGTACTATCTAAAAAACAATTTTATTTAATTAGAGGTCATTTTTAGATCATAATCTTTAATTAAAAAAATTACCATGGTGGGTTGCCATTTAAAAAAAAATTTTTTTCCAGAACTCGAAAACTAAAAGAAATTTCCAAAAATGATAAATGGTCACATTTTAATTGGACTTTACGCTACACTAATTATTTTTTTCGTAAAGTGCTTAGTTTGGTTCCATACTTTTTATTCACCTGGTATAATTCGTGAAATAAAAACTGGCTGTTATACGGTAAATCTAAAGAAAATTAATTGAAATTATAAACACCATAAAACATATTTTTTCTAGATTGAAACAGCTTTTGTCAAATTTTATCTCAAAAAGCCAAAATTAGAAGAAGAAGCAGTACTATTTTTCCAGATTGTCTAGGATATTGTTAAATTTGATCCACAAGTTAAACGAAGGAGAAAAGCAAAAAGAATTGAAAAAGCAACTCTAAATTTAGATTTTTTTGGTTGCTGTTTTTAATAATTATCAATAAATAATAATTTGCTTATTTATTTTAGTAGAAGTATCAAATATAAATCAAGAAATTATCAAGAATCAAATAGCTGAACTGAATAACTAACAAAATTTATTTGAAAAAAATTAAAATAAGAATAAAGGTTTATTCTATTTATTTATTTACCTTCTAGTCTGTGGTCTTTACATTCAATTGCGCATGGTAATAATTAATGTGATTTCGATAATTATGAAAAAAAGTTCAGTTCAAAGTAACGTTATTTAAAAAAGTAGTAATCGACGGTATTAAATAAACTTTATATATTTGACCTCTCTGATTTAATTTTTCTCTGGATACAAAAACAACTACAGTCCAAAAACTGAATTAAATAACAACAAATTTTTGATAAATTGATGGTGTTACGGCAGTTTTGCAATTCCTAATAATTTTAAATTTAGAATTAAATTTTACTTGGTCCAGTTTCATGATCGAATTAAAGTAACTTTAAAGTTAATGTTAGTTTAGAATGTAAAATTTTGCTCAATGAGTCCGTAGTAATTAGCACATTCTAAACAACATTTAATTTAATGCTCCTTTAAATTTTATTATGCAACTGGCCCTTAGAATATTATGCTCCTACAAAATATGTAGGTGTTTATGTTCTTGTCTTCGATATTCCGTTTCATAAAATAACCTTATTTAAAAAGAATTCTTTTTAATTAAGCACTAATTTATTTATTTTTTTAATATACCTACTAATTTAGTAATTATTTAATATAACAACAGTTTTCAAGTAAAATTCAATATGTATTTATTTTACGTTTCGCCACAGAAACACATGTATAAACTTCTTTTTTTTAAGTATAACTATTATCATTTATACAACTGCAACTTTTCGGTCCATTCCTTCATTTATTGGTAGTAATGATGGCCCGATTACGCTATCTCTCTCTAAATTGAGCGTGACCGGTTTGGCCACACGTTTGCAGGGCTCGCTGCATCACTTAAATATCTTACACCGTGTCTACGATGCATAGTTTTTGAGATATTTAGTGATAAAGTTAAGAATAAGGCTAGAAGTATACAAGATTTATAAAAGAAGATGTGGTAAATAACACTGGTCAAAAAAAAATTGAACAAATTTTCGGTAACATTGATTAAATTACCTTCCACGTTTACGATTTTTCACTCTGATTTCGAAAATTTTCACAAAAATGTCTCATGACGTATCATTCGTATGTTACCAACTTCGTTCTGACACCCATGTTAAAGCAAAAGAGTACTGAAAATAATTCAACTATTTAARATATTTTATTATGAGCATACAATATTTTAATAAACTAACTTTAGAAACATTTAAAAAGTCTTATATTACAATAAAAGAGTGAAATTTCAACATTTTCTTTTGTTAGGTACGTTACTGTCGCGTTTTAAAAAAGCTAACAGTAATTGACCATCATGGAAGAGTTCTAGCGGCCTTGATAGCATTCTTTCATCTTTCTGATGTCTTGGTGAAACCTCTCTTTTTGTTCGTCACTGACAGCCCCCAGATTTATTGGAAAAAAATCCAAGTGGGGGAGCAGAAAATGTATTAATTATATTATTGGTAAAAAATGCAACAAATCAACGGTACGTGTTATCAAAAAACTAAATGCATTTTGTTATTTAGGAAGTAAAAAACTACTATTGACCAAATTGTCATCAATGTTACCGAACCCTTGTTGACCTGTGTAATGCAAGATGCAACATAATAATAATAACACAAATCTGAAATCTGACAGAAGGTGACCAACATTGAGACAATTCAATTAATTCAAAATCAATTCAAAATTGACGGCAAATAGAAGACTTAAACTTGAAAGATACTTTGTTTTCGCTGCAAATAAAAATGCAAAAAATTGCACACTTAGGTGTGTTGGTCCTTAAATCGAGACGAATCAGGACATAAATGTAAAACAAGACAAGACATAAGACAATAAAAACCTAAACATGTCCTGGCTAAATCAGGACGTTACAACCTGCGGATAATCGAGCATAACTTCACTGACGTCACCATATAGCCATCTTACTCGCTCTTTAGTGTCTCTCACTCCAAGGCAACCTTTTTACTTTATAAATCTTGTAGTAATCCCTTCATATTCGTTATATCAGAATGCTTCAGGTAACAGCTAAAACAGCAGTAGCCCATTGCAAATGAATAACAATTACCTCTAAAAGTTTGATGTTGATTTTGAATGTTAAAGTTGCCAAACTAAAATTTTAAATTTGACACCATCTTAAGGTAAAAAATCATTTACAGTCACCCGGTATTTACAAGCCGTGAATTGGAGCATTTAAATTCGTGTTTTTTCCAAACTAAACAAAAAACAGGACTTTTTATATGAAAATAGCGTAAACAGATAGGACATGTCCAAGTTGAACAAAATTGTTTTTTGTACTTCCTTTATAAATAAAATTCTGCAATAGTGACGTAATTTTTATTCAAAAGTCGTATAACAATATGTTGGTAAGCAGAATTAATAGGTAAACATAACTTACTTACATACAAATTAGGAACAAGAGCTCAATACAAATGCATCTAACAAATTAATTTTTTAGATATAAAAAGAACGAAATTTGTTCGTTAATTAAATAATCATAAAATAAAAAGGTGCAACAATACCTTTAGTATTAGGGGGCCATGTGGTTGAATAATACGCTGTAAAATCTATTTTTGTAGAACAAGTAATAAAAGATTTTTTTATATTGCCCCTAATTTTTTCACAATGACGCAAAAACATTGTGAATTTAGTAGAAACGGTTAAAACAAAACAAAAATTCAACAAATGGCAATTCCAAAACAGTAAAGATATCACAATATTAAGCTTAGATTTAAGAGACTAATCACCTCATATCATATCTTCCTAGAAAAAATATTAATCGATGATAATTTTTATAGCACCACAATAAAAGATGTGCTAAAGTCTAACACTGTTAACAAAAATACAGACAATTGTTTAGTAACTATATTTCAAATAAGTAACAATAAATCAAAATGTAATATTAATTATACTCTTTAAAAATATTTTATGGTAATACTACACGATTTACGTACTATAAAAACCATGCTTCAGCTGTTTGGTCAAATGACAGGCCAAGATTACACCAAAAAGCTGTAAAATAAGATGTTATGTTAAAACACAATTATTGTAATTTCAGGTATCATACCTGTATAAATGCAATCGCAATTCCGACTCCTCCCAAAGTGACTGCATGARCTTTTAGATAGTCACCAAAGCCAGCCACACAGCCCTGTTTGTAATAAGTTGCAGAAGAGTTATCATATAGATTGCATTTTATTATTCCGGTGGCTCCATTGTTGCTCTTACAGCAACTAGCAGGAAGGTCTCCTTTTTCTACTGTTGTCGTTTCTGCAACAGCTTCACGCTTTCTTTTGAGTCCAGAATTGTGTGTTGAAGTTTCCGTTGAAGTACTTGAAGTTGTAGAAGTTGCTGATGTTTTTTGAGATGAACTTGAAACCGTTGTTTCGCTAGATGATGAACTTGGGACTGTTGTAGTCACTATTTTTGTTGAAGAAGGAGTCGGCGTAATATATTTTTCCCAGTCGTCCGGTTTGGAAGCACCACAACATTCAAACTAAAATTGTCCCCAATCACAAATAATATGGGTAAAAAAACGTACAAAATATACTCACTTCATACTGAATTGTATCCCACATAATTGTAGTAGGATTAGGTTTGTTACTGTTAAATTCGTACATTTTCAAAGAATTAGTTAACTCCTCTGTTAAAAATGAAGTGGTTTTGTCTCTTAAAACATATCCAGCGATTCCGGCAGAAAATTCCATGATAAATATAATCGACAACAAAACTGAAAACTATACAACAATTGTTAGGAAGAAACGAGTTTACTTGAAAACTTACAATGAAAATCATAAACCAACTTTCTCGGACAGCTCCGCAACATCCGAAGAACGAAATGAAGAAAATCAAGGAACCGATAGCTATCAATAGATTAGGTAAGGAGAAGTAACTGTCGTTTAAAAATACATCGTATTCTGTATAATATGATTTCACTGAAACTCCCACTGCAATCATAATAATCCCACTGATCTGAAAATAAAACCGAATATTAATTTTCCATCCATATTATTCAAATGCGCTGTTTTATCATCTCAAGTGACTTTATTAATAACTAAACCATTGTTTAGCGTTATCTGATTTCCTGGAATCGCGAAAATGCGCATCTCTTACAACCCATGGCCTGCAAAAGGCCACTTTCCAAACCAGTTCCACGTCGAACCGGTCGCATACTTATTACTTACCACAAACAGCAGATTAAAAATGAAAAGCACATATTTAATAACTCTATTACTCCAGCTGAGATTCATTTTGAGTTATTTACTCAGCACGTGACACTTAACTGCACACTTTCTTCAAAATTTCACTTTCACAGGTCTCTGGTTTTATTCTGACTAGGTTCGAGGAGGTGTTTCGATAGTTATTTGGGATCAACTGATAACATTATCGTGTCAACACAATCCGTAGACGTGGACATACTTTATAATCTTTTCACCTGCGAGCACGTACAACGCGATTATTATTAAAACTGGAACACATTTTACTACAGCCGCGGGTAGAATGGAGCGATTGAGCGGTTACATCAACATTTTTGTTGGCTCGGAAATTTGTTTATGTGCGACCTTGAATTTTTACACCGGCCATTACAACAATTATTGATAATACAAGGAAAATAACAACGAAAGGTTTGAACATTTATTTAAAAAAATGTACATTCAACAGTCTGGAATTGTGACTTAGTTATTAATTATTTCGGTGTAAATTTATAACAAAAAAATTATATTAAATCTTTGTAAACCAAAGTGCTCAAGTCGCATTCCCAAAATTTCCACACAGTAATTATTGTGCAATGCGAAAAAATAAATAACACTATTTTTCAATCTTGATTTCAAAGTTTTTTTTTTTTTTTAAATTTGAAATACATAATAAAGTCGATATAAAATTTACATAGCATACATTAAAAAACAATAGTTACTTATGACTCAAGAGAATGTAGGTAATGCCAGAGGCGACTGACAGACTAATAAATTAATAACATAAGAAAATGATTAAGTCAAAAATTCAGTTCATTCGATATCAAGAAGTTTATTGTTTATGTTAAAAAACACTCAATTCCAGTTTATTTTATTCTTGATGGAATAAAAAAGTACCAAATTATTACTTAGTCAAAAGTGTCAAAAACCAAGTACAGTGGATAGAAAAATTTATTTTGTTTATTCTTTTATTCCTTACGAGTTTCTTTCTGGTCTTGGAAAATCGACATTTCTGCTAGAAGGATATTGGAAATGATTTTTTTTTGTTACACAATAGAATGATTTCAAATTTTATTTTTAATAAAAAATCAATAAAAACAAACAGTTTATTGGTAATAGTTATTTTTGTTACAAGTACCTAAAACACAGTGTTTGCGGACGAATCGTTGCTGCTTCCGGACGAGGTGAAACCTTAAAAAGCTGTTTTCGGGAGCGTATACAAAAAAGGATTTTTTAAAAATTTTCTTATATGAAAAATGAGATCAAGTGGTTAATACCAGAGTTACTTTTTATATTAATTGTACTTTAATTAAAAAATCAGTAACTTTACTGTCAATACTGCCTCAAAAGCTTTAGTTTTATTTACGAATTTTCTGTTTTATTTCTTGTAGAAGTTTCCTAAATAATTTTGCACCGGAGCTGCTTTACAGCTTTACAGTGCAACAAGCCAAATATTTTACTGTTTTTGGTTCTGTTTTTTATCTAGAATAAAGCGTCACTTTATTCTCTGTTGGAAGGAAAATAAATTTAATTTATTCATCAACTGCAAAACAAAGGTAAAACAAAATAAACAACATAGCAGACACTTTTTTTAATATAAAATGTGAGGCTTTCGGTTTACATCTTCTTGTTTCTTTTTTTCTTTCTCTGTCTTTATTTAATTCCTTCTCTAAACAAAAATTTACCAAATCATTAATGAATTCACAAAAAAAAATAGTTACGAACTTTATTATTAATAATATGTACTAATAATAAATAAGGCTATGCTCTACGACTTGATTGAATTTGTAATTATTTTTACTAAGTTCTACGAGTGGTCAAATGTGCAATCACAGTCTAGTGTATTTTTTGATTTTAATGTTTGTGACAATGACAATTGCAAATTGCTTTTAATAAACTTACCAATTAGGTACCTGACTTTCAGGTGGCAAACATTATCTTAAGAATTTACGTCTTCATGAGTACCTAAGTATATGTATTTACGTTTCAGTAACTGACGGAAAATTCCCTAAATTTTAAAATTTTCGTTCGCTAAGTAGAAAAAAATAGTATTTCACTCGTTACAGAAGGCTATACAAGCAATTGATTGCCGCTACGCGAGTATGTTGAATGTTTTCTGCAAATCGTATCTAGGTAATGAAAATCTAAATTTCATAGTTTTTCACAAAAGAGGTCTCTTGCGTTTTTTCGATAGAACTTACCGTTTTTAAGTAAAATTAGTTTAGAATTCGTCTAACAGACCATAAAGAGGATAAAAATTTAAAATTAAATTTGTTTCACCGTTTAAGGCACCCGTGATTAAAAATTTCGACAACTGATCTTTGAATTCGTTCAGGTGTCTAAAAGTAATCAGCTGTACCAACTTTTGTAATTTTTTTCTATTCTGCAATAGGGGTTTTCCCACCCCATTAAAAACGCATCTCTCTCAGGGGGTGTAGTTCGCTTACGTAACATTTTTTTTTAAACATGTTCATAGGAAACTTTTGTCTTAAAATTCAATATTCTATCACCTGTTTAAGTTTGTAACAATAAAAACGAAACACCCTGTACGTATTTATACCATTTTATTTTATATTTTACTAATACACTTCTTAATCATTAGAATACACACTTTGTAGCGTTGCCTAAAGCTTCTTTTATGTGTGCAAATATTTAATCATATTCGTCTATTTTTTCTTTAATAATATAATGTAAGAAAAACAACAACGAAAGGTTGAAACATTTATTACAAAAACCTACACTGGATCGTCAGGAAGTGCGACTTAAATTAATGATTATTGTTACAATATAACCCTACAGAGAAAAAAAATAACAATTATAATATTCAGGGTTAACTAATTTTATTGCTTGTATTTAATACAAGAGAGGGATTAAACCGTTTCGTAATCACTTCGAATCTGCTTGGCTAAGTAACAGGACAATATAATACCAAGCAACTAGAAAAAAATAATTACTTAATTAAAAAGTTTTAGCTTATTTTTTTTTACCTGTATTATGGCGAAAGTCAGTCCAACACTTTCAACCGTAGTGGCGTGCCCTTCAATATAATCACTAAAAACTTCCAAACAGCCCTCTCTGTGAAGCCCTTCACTCTTTTCATTGCAAGTCACATTGCCGAAACTTCCATGAGGGAAGTTACAGCAAGTCACCGGGAGTTGTCCGTGAGTCGAAGTGACATTTTCCCAATCAGTGTAATTTTGAATTCCGCAACATTGGAACTAATTTTAACAAAATAAACACAGTTTCGAATAAAAAACTTACATTTTCTTGAACTGTATCCCACAAATTGGTGATTTCAGTGTTATTTGGAGTATTATATCTTCGCAAAGTGCCAGTAAGGGCTTTATCGATCATTTCGTCCGTTTGGTGTTTCAAAACCAAACCTCCGATTCCAACAATAAGTTCAAGAATGAAGATAACAATGAGCATCATTGAAAACTTGAAAAAAATCGTCAATTTGTGTAAATTTTATTTGATTTGTGATTACAGTTTGAGTCATGCATGCATTTTCCTTGAGTGCTCCACAGCATCCAAAAAATGCAATGATGAAAATAATTACGCCAATTATGATTAGAAGGTCGGAGGCGTAGATGTATTTGTCGTCGAGAAAAGAGGTGTATTCATTGTAGTAGGCCTTAACGGAGGCGCCGACTGATAAAATGACCACTCCCGTCAGCTGAAATTCATGAAAATATTGAAAACTTTCTGGAAAATCCGAAAAAAGTGCATAGAAACACTTGGTTAAATATTAATAGTGTGTTTGTTTTTTCTAAAGCCATGAGTTGAAATTATTAGTATTTATTGTGTTAAGTTTTATAAAACAGTTTTATCAGATGTGAGAATACGCCAGATAAGCGAAATTAGTCACCACTAGGAAAGTATTGCTTGAAAAATTAAGCAATATTGATATCTCTATTTCAACAATGAATTGTGATTTAAAGATGATGTTCAAAAACAACTTAAGTATTTGAGTATTTTTTTACATTTTTAAAGGACAACCCGCTATAAAACTATTTTTCTCATGAAGGTTATGATCTAAGGATTACAATTATCTACTTTATACAGGGTGTGCCAGAACTCGCGCCCCAGAGAAAATTTTCAAGTAAGGTAAAATACCAGGAACATGAAAAAAATGTTTAAAAAATTCTATATGTCAAAAAATTTTCACATTTTTTTTTACATTTTTTATATCTATTTAATGATACTGATGATCTTGTAAATGTTTTTTTTACAATTATTTAGTAAAGGTACAAAAATTTTACCAATAAAAGCCATAAATAACAATGAACAAATTGCAAAATTTAAACTCTCA